GGTAAAGGAAGAAGTCAAATTGTCCCTGTTTGCAGGTGACATGATTTTATATAGAGAGAAAAGACTATACCAAAAGACTATACCTAAAGACTCTACCAAACATCTCCTAGACCTGATAAACAAATTCAGTAAAGTTGCAGGATACAAAATCAACATACCCAAATCAACTCAAAATGGGTTACAGACTTAAATGTAAGACTCAAAACTATAAAACTTGTAGAAGAAAACACAGGGAAAACACTTCAGGACTTAGGACTGGGCAATGATTTTATGAATGAGACTTCTAAAGCACAGGCAACAAAAGAAAAAACAAATGGGATTATCTCAAAATGAAAAGCTTCTGCACAGCAAAGGAAATAACAGAGTGAAAAGACAACCTGCAGAATGGGGGAAAATATTTGCAAACTGTGTCCAACAAGGGATTAATGTCCAGAATATACAAGGAACTCAACTCAATAGTAAAAAAACCCCAAAAAACAAAAAACCCAAAATCTGTTTTAAAAATTAAAACTGAGTAGACATTTTGCAAAAGAAGACATGCAAATGGCCAGCAGGTATATGAAAACATGCTCAACGTCACTAATCATTAGGGAAATGCAAATCAAAACCATGGTAAGGTATCATCTCACACGAATTAGATTGGCTGTTAACAAAATGCAGAGAAAGGAAAACCCTTCTACACTGTTGATGGAACTAAATTAGCACATTATGGAAAACAGTACAGAGGTTCCTTAAACAACTGCAGATAGAACTATCATATCATCCAGCTGGGTATACATCCAGAGGAAAGGAAGTCAACGAGTTGAAGGAATATCTGCACTCCCACACATATCACAGCTTTATTTACAATAGCCATGATTTGGACTATCCTAAGTGTCCATCAGCCAATGACTGGATAAAGAAAATGTGGCACATGTACACAATGAAATACTACTCAGACATAAAAAAGAATGAAATTCTGCCGTTTGCAGCAACATGGATGAGCTTGGAGAAGATTATGGTAAGTGAAATAAGCTAGGCACAGAAAGAGAAATCCATGTACTCACTTGTATGTGGAAGCTAAAAGTAAAGAGTAGAATAGTGGTTACTAGAGACTAGTAAGTGGGGAGGGGTGGATGAGTAGAGGATGGCCATTGGATACAAAATGGTACAGAGATAGGAAGAATGGGATCTAGTGTCCTACAGCAGTATCGGGAGACTGCAGTCAACAACAAAGTACTGTATAACTTCAAGTAGCTGGTAGAGAGGATGTTGAATGTTCCCAACACAAAGAGGTGACAAATGTTTGAGGTGATGGATATGCTAAATATTGATCATTGCACACTGTAATAAATGTACCCAAATATTATATTGTACTCTATAAGTATATACAATTATCATGGGTCAATTAAGAAAAAAGAAAAAGAAAAAAAAAAGTGCGTTCAAGACTCTTTACCATGGTTTCTTCATGATAGTCATAAATCAGAAATACCTGCATTTCTAACAATAGGATTTATAACTGGATCGTGGTACATCCATATATGAGGTGCCGGGCTGCTAATAAAACCATTGGTATGGTTTATATAATAAAAACATTTATGTAGTTTATATATTTATGTGGGAAATATTCAAAATTAAGAGGAAAAGTGGTAATAAAAATTTATCTTTACACACGTATATACATGAATGTATAAGAATGTATAAAATAGTTTGGAAGTTGACAGTGGTTACCTTTGGGATGTAGGATTGTAGATGGATGGTTTTTTACATTTTCTACAGTTTCTATAAGGAGTGTGTATGTATGTGTACATCTGTCTATACACATATTAAAAAACTTATGTACTAAAAATAAGTATGATTTTTTTGGGAAAAAAAGTAATTATTAAAGACCAGGTTAAACTTCCAAGCTGGAAGTTAAGACCCTTTCATATTGATTAATCCTAAATGTTGCTTCAAAGCTTAGATAGATACTCTTTTGAAGGGTATCTGCGTTGTTTAGTCTGAATCCTGAGGCATTTCACATGGTTTTTGAGGTGATATGTATTTTTTTTTTTTCCTTTTTGTCTCTTTTTTCGTGTCCGGCAACAGATCGCAACCCTCAGTGTCACGCCCGTACCAGACCGGGACCAGCAACGGGATCGCAATCCTCGGTGCTGCGCCCACACCTCGCTCAGCCAGTGAGCGGGAACTGGTCTGTATGCGGGATCCGAACCCTCGGTGGGAGCGCGCCACCGCGCTCCCAAGCGGCGCACTGTAGCAGTGCGCCACCGGGCCGGCCCTTGAGGTGATATGTATGTCTGATATCACAGTGCTTCATTCTTGAGCTCGGTATCTGTGGGGAAATAAAGCTTCCTGGATTTCTCAGTGCTCCTGTAAAAGCCCTGGCCTCTAAGATACAGGAACATATAGGATATAAAGACAGGGAAAGTTTGCCCTCAGGCCTACGACAGGCATCTTACTCTTCATGTGTAATGAGGATTTGATCTGCAGGCATTTGTCCAGCTAATTGCTCTGAGTCACTGCTCTATTGCCCCACTGCTCTATGGCCAGATGGTCACACCCTTACCGGGCTACGAGGTTACAGTCCCAAGGTTCCAGACAGACAGGTTGGCAGGGAGGAGCCTAGGCCCAGGAGACATCCTGGGTTTTACAGAGTCAGAGAGCATGGGGCTCTCTGGCACCTGGAAATGTTTTATTTTATGTTTCAGAAGATTCGAGTGAGAACCTAGGATCCTTTCCATCAGAGGTCCAAGGAGTCACAGTTTTTCTGTCTCTTTTTGGCAGTTAGTGGGGAGGCAGCTGCCTCTTTCTCCTATATATGAACAGATTAAGTCTGTTTTTCTCTTTTCCTCCCTGTGGCATAGGCTTTGACCTTTGTATGATCTGGGTTTTGTTTTGTCACCACAAGGGTAGCATTTGGGGTGTGGGGAACCACAGGGTCATTATTTGCTGAGTAGGTGAGTAGTGATGATCTGTCTCTAATCCAGAATACCTCGTGTGCTCGTTCAAGATCAAAGCAGTAAAGATAACTATTAAATACCCAAGAATATCCACCCTGAATTGCCCCCTGAATTAGAGGAGCAATGAGTTTTAGTATGCATGTTTTTCTTTGCTGGGCTCTCAGGAAGTAGAGAATAGTTAGAAAGGACATGTTCATCATAGATTGGAACTAGAAAAGGAAGAAACTGATAAAACAGCAGTAGTAGTATTGCTTAATTTTGCCCCACGCAAATGCTATTTAAATGGAACTCTTAACATTGTAAAATTCCTTTAACACGAAGGCAGTAAACCCTAATGGTATTGTTTCTATAGGTGACAAGGCAGCTATATGAACCTCTGGTTATGCAGTTGATTCACTGGTTCACTAACAATAAGAAATTTGAAAGTCAGGATACTGTCGCCTTACTGGAAGCTATACTGGTGAGTAGTTATGGAGTCTTTTCTTGCTGTTCTCATCGACTGGTTATAGTTGATGTATATTTAGAACTTTAAGAAGAGTTACCTGTTAAGATACCAAAGTGTAGCATCTAGCTAGACCATTTTTTCTTTTTTCTTTTATTTGTGAAATGTTATTTTAATGGATACAATGCCATATTTATTTACCTAAGGGATACTTTTACGTATCTGCAACTAAATGTTCGTATGTTGTTGTTTTATTCTGCTTTCTGGGATGATGGTTATATGTTTGACAAATTTCATCTGCGTTAAGGTTGTGTGTGTGTGTATTGAGGGCATGAGGAATATCATCGTTATGGTAGCTGTTTTTTTTTTTTTAATATTCATAGTTCAATACTTAATTTAAGAGTAAAGGGGGCCGGCCCGGTGGCGCACTGGAGAGTACGCCGCTTGGGAGCACGGCGGCGCTCCCGCTGAGGGTTCAGATCCCATGTGGAGACCGGTTCCCGCTCACTGGCTGAGCGCAGTGCGGGTGCAACACCGAGGGCTGCGATCCCGTTGCCGGTCCCTGGTACGGGCACGACACCGAGGGTTGCGATCCTGTTACCGGTCAGTAAAAAAGACAAAAAGGAAAAAAAAAAAAAAAAACAGTTAAACACATAGTGAGTTTGTCCACACAAACATCCTTTAATTTTGTAATCATGCAAATTGATTCCAGTTTGCATCTCTGTGTCACTTTCTGTTCAGTTTGAGATAAGCTGGAGGAGACAGGGAAGTTGACAAGAGCATCCAGAGACAGGAAATAAAAGCATTGGGTGTGTGGCGTATTTGTGAGGACTCTGTCTCCAGTTTCGATATCACGGGAGCCTGTGAGCATGAGGCTGGGGAAGTATAAGGGCAGAGTAGCAGAGTGGTGCGTGCAGGGCAGCCAAACGTCCACATGCCCAGGACAGTTCCTCCTCATATGCCTTGTTGTGGGCATTGGTGACTTTCTGAATGTTTTTAATTAGGATGGTGACATAATTATATCTGTAGTTGAATTCCCTGCGGTGTCTACCAGTGAATGCTGCCTCCACTGAATACAGTTAATTAAATTTAATTTGTGATTATTTGCATTCAGATGGATTTATTCTAATGTTTCTATTCTGAAGTTTCTATCTTAGTTGTTTCTTTTTCCCTTTTGATCCTTGAAGGTAGCTTAAATAAGGGCTTCAGAAAGAAAGCTGGTAAGATAATGATAACATGATGTAGTTGAGGAAAGAAAAGGTGAAGAAGAAAATGTGAACTTGGTAGCACAGCACTCAAGTGAAGATTTCCTAGGAAGAGTTGCAAATACCATATCTTCACATTGCCGTGGCTGTGTTACCTTCTTGAATGCTAATTAGCATTGCAATCAAGAATTTTGCGTGTAGTACATAACTGGGGATATTAGGCAGAACTCCTTCCTTATTTCAGTGTTGAGTATACTTTTTCAAGTTAACCTTTTCCTTTATTGATCTCAGAGGGAATAACACCTGGAGGGAAACAAAACCATTAGATAGAATAATTTTTTTATGTGATTATTGGTCAAATTTCCTTGGCTGTTTTCTTCAGGTATATAGAGACTGTGCCTTTATGGGGACATTTCTTCCAAGAAGTTATGTTTTTAGAACCATACCTCCATTTATGGTTTTTCTTTATTTGGCAATACAATTTCCTTGGAACTTTCGAAGGTTTTATTTGCTTTAACCTCATTATACAAAGCATCTCAGATGCTGTTATGGGGTAAAATCAACAACCACAGAAGTTCTTGTGTTTCTTCAGGGAAGGGAAAGACTGCTTTGTTGTCATAATATAATTAAAGCATTCTTTCCCTTTTTCATGGAGGTTTCCATTTACAAATTTGTTTAAAAGAAAGTGTTTTTATTATGCCAAAAGGAAGTTGTCATTCAAGTCTACATTCTAGACAATCAGATCGGTTTTACTAGTGTTTATTTTTTCTGTACTAGTGCTATAAGTTAATTTTCTTTTTTTAAAAAAAAAGATGACTGGTAAGGGGATCTTAACCCTTGACTTGGTGTTGTCAGCACCACGCTCTCCCAAGTGAGCCACAGGCTGGCCCATATAAGTTAATTTCCATAACATACTCAAGTTATGCTCAGAGACAGACCAAGGGTATTTGCTTGTCATTTTATGGTTGTAAAGATGTATACAATAAAGGCCTCTTTGTTTCATTTCAGGATGGAATTGTGGACCCCGTTGACAGTACTTTAAGAGATTTTTGTGGTCGGTGTGTTCGAGAATTTCTCAAATGGTCCATTAAGCAAACAACGCCACAGCAGCAGGAAAAGAGTCCAGCAAATACCAAATCGCTTTTCAAGCGACTGTACAGCTTTGCACTTCACCCCAGTGCTTTTAAGAGGCTGGGAGCGTCACTCGCGTTTAATAATATCTATAGAGAGTTCAGGTAACATAATCCATGGCAGGGAAGAGTGTAAAAGATGCTCTTTAAATTTTTAGTAGTGTTTTTGAAGAGTGACTCAGTGTTTTACTGTGTGTATCCATGCATTCATATATCAAACATTTAGTAAGTAATTATGTGCTGGATACTGTTCTTTGTTCTGGGCATTAAAAAAAGAATTCAATTTACTCTCAAGTAGCTTAGAAACTACTGAGAATAACATACAAATAAAACACCACAGCAGTTTTGTAAATGCAACAGAAGACATATATAGAGAGTGTAATCCAGTCTGAGTGGGTTAGGCAAGGACTTATGGTAGTCTTTATGCTTGTGATGAGACTTAAAGGAGGAGTAGAGATCAGCTAGGGCATTTCAGATCGCATGGGGTTGGGGGTAGAGATAAGCAATAGGATGGTATCTGAGGCGATGAAGACACTGGATATTCTCAGAGTGTGGAATTTGAGGTTTGGAAGGAAGTGTATTGGGGCTGGCGGGAGGGCTTTGTCTACTGCGGTAAGGAGCATGGGTCACCTCTAGTGACAGCAATGAGAGCAGGGAACAGCATAGTTTGATTTCCGCCTAAAATTCACTTGCTGGCAACTGCATGAAGATAGATCGGAGTCAGACACCAGTGAAGAGACTGTTTCAGAGTTCCAAGAAAAAGGTGATTTGTCACTGCCCTAAGGTAGGAGAGGTGTCTAGTTTGTTCATTCATTCCTTCAGCACTACTTATTAAGAATATTATGTGCCAGACACTGTGCCAAAAGCTTGAGATACAAAAATATAGCCCTTCATGAGAGTTACATTTCAGAAAAAGAGATAATAATTAATGACATGCATAAATGTAAAATTTATAGCTGAAATTAGTGGTATTGAATTAGTACATAATTTAGTCTTACAATGAGGAACCTGCCTCGTTTGGTCAGAATGGCTTCTCTCAGGAAGTGGCAGTTGGAATAGAGAAGAGAAAATCAGTGATAAAAACTAGATATATATATATATATATATAGATAGATAGATAGATATATATAGACAGTTGGGTATAGATAGATAGATAGATAGATATAGACAGTTGGGAATCTGTGTGTGTGTGTATGAAAATTGACTAAGAATTTCAAGCCATGTTTTTTTTTAGCGTTTTAAATTGTGAAACCTGTACATACAGAAGAGTGTGTAAAATGTATGTGTAAAGTTTATAGAATAATAGTAATAAAATGAGTTCTTGCATACCCTCCCCCCAAGTTAAGAAATAGAGTGCTACCAGTATTCTAGACACCTCCCAACCCCACATCTCTACTCACCCTCTCACAGATAGTCATTCTTCTGACTTTCATGTTACTTATTTCTTTCTTTTATCTACAAATGTATCCGTAAACAATGTATTTTTGCTTTTTGGAAAACAGACAGTAAGCACAAGCACGGTTAGGTGAGCCTGTCTTTTTGCTGTTAGATGGGAGTGCCCTGGGGGCATAAGCTGAAGGGAGACTGATGTCAGCCTTGCTGTGGCTCTGCAAGGTCCACAGTCAGTCCTGGTAGTGGGGCTGTCCAGAGGTGGCTGTGAGGTAGATGAGTGCCTGCTGTCTGGGAGAAATAGCGTCAGACGTTGTGGGCTGCCCTTTGATTTCTGCCTCTCAGCTCACAGTGGCCTACCCTGTGTGTTTGGAGTGGGTCAAAACAAAGCCCTCCCATGGGGCAAATGAGCACCGTCGGCTCTTCCAGCTGAACACAGACAGGAGAGGACCTTAAAGCATATGGTCATGTAACCAGGTTCAGAGAAGAATTTGGGCCTGGCTCACCCAGGCATTCTGTCCAGGTTGAAAAACCATGTAGTAGTGTCCTGGAATATCTGTCAACAGTCTTTTGCTCAGTCCCTGACTGCCTGCCTGCTTACCGTGTCTGGTGCACAGGTATCACCCTGGGTCTCTGTGACTGTCCTTTTGGGCATCCCTTTATTCTTTCCTGTGTTGGGGCTCCTATCTCCTTATCTCCCTGTCATTGTCTGTCGTGGATATTCTCATTTGTTGGACCACATTTCAAATGGCTTTTTGAGAAAGGGTGCATGAGGGAAAGTTTTTGAGATCTTGTATGTTGAATGATATAAACAGAAGCTCTAATGTTTCCTGTCTGCACATTAATGGGCTGGTTTGCACACCCCTCTTTGTAGGGCACAGCTTTAGAGTCTTGTTTTGTTATGTCATTTCTCTGTACCCTTTCACTGCCATCCTGGTACCTGATATAAAACAGTCGTGCTTAGCCTGGTCTTCCAAGACCTCCATGGTTCAGCTCCAGTGACTTTTGCAGATGCGTCACAAATTGCTCCTCTCGGGGTCCTCTGCTCCTGGCCTTGCCGCTTCGCCTGCTGACCCTATGGTTTTCATCTTGCCCTAGGTCTTTGTCTATACCGGTTTTACTAATTGGCAACATCCTTTATTCTCAGAGTTAGCTATGGGTGTGAGACACAGGGGGAAATGAGGGGTATGTGGAACCCTGAGAGGCCCTGCACCTCTTGGGATTCAAACTGAAAAAAGGAAAAAAAAAAAAAGGATGATATTCTGGGCACATCCCCTCTCTCTTGATGTCCTCCATGCCTTGCTCTGCTCCTTTGTCTCATGAGCAAGCTCCTTCCCAACAGGAGCAGTGCTTCCTTGCTGGGGGCTGATGGCCCATCTGGAACTTCACCTCCTACTTTTCTGTGAACTCTTGTGAGAATTATTGCCTGTACTTATTGTTTTTTACTTAATCATTTACTGTATTATGTCCTGAAGGAGCACATTTTCCTGTGAGAGATCTGGCCTCTGCAACTTCCCTGTTGGCCCTTACTGCATGAGACCACCCATGAGTTTACTCTATATTAGTAGATAGTCCACAGATGTGATCCAATTAATTATTTGCACATACCAGATATGCTTGTAAAAGTCTTAGAGTTTACTGTTGATGTTGACTTGTTTTTAGATAGGTTGAGAGCTTTTATCAGCACCGCACTCTCCCGAGTGAGCCACAGGCCGGCCCCGGTTGAGAGCTTTTAAACTTTCTTTTTTTTTTTGGCTGCTGGCTTGTACAGGGATCTGAACTCTTCACTTTGGTGTTAACAACACTGGGCGCTAACCAATTGCGCTAGTTGGCCAGCCCTACTTTTAAAATTTCTTTATTTTAAAAGAATGTGGATATAGTGTCAAATCTTCTTTTCTTCTTTGTTGAGTCTTAATAAGTGTGTGACCATGGAATACTGTTCTGCTGTAGAAAAGAATGAAATTCTCCCATTTGCCACAATGTGGATGAGCTTGGAGAAACTTACGTTGAGTGAAATAAGCAAAGCACAGAGGGATAAATGCCACGTGTACTCACTCATAGGTGGGCGCTAAGAGAGAAAAAAGGAAGAAAAGAAAGACCACAGTGGTGTGTTGGACATACAAAGTGGAATGGAGAAGGGGGATGGGGAGGGAGGTCGGGGATAATTGGGGAGATAATTGGATTGGGGACAGGGGGTATAATCACAATTTGTGGTAATGGGCATGCTGCCAGTATAGATCTGGCCATCACATCTTAGGCACGAGTGGTGACAATTTGCTTTGTACCCTATGAATATTCATAACCAAAAAAAAAAAAAAGTGTGTGAAAGTGTGGTCAGGACAGTAGTTCTAAGGTAATGTGCTGTGAACAGTCCCAAGTGGAAGAGGAGGAGGGGTATGGAGAAAAAGCCAGTGTTGCCTCTTTGGCTTACATAGCCTTAGTCTTCAGTCTGCTCTTGAGGAAGTATTCTTTGAGAAGTATTTAGGTTGTCTTATGTTTTAAAACCTTTGAGCCTTTTTTAAAAAAAACATTTAATTATTGTATGCATTCTTTAATACTGTTACTTATTTTCTTTGTCCTTTCTGCTTTATTATTTTCTTAGGAGAGCCTTCGTATTCTTTATTTTACAGGGAAGAAGAGTCTCTGGTAGAACAGTTTGTGTTTGAAGCCTTAGTGATATATATGGAAAGTCTGTCCTTAGCACATATGGATGAGAAATCCTTAGGTATGTCTATCCAGGTGTTCTGTTTGCATGCAGATTCTGTTTGCCTTGTAGGTCTTTACAGCTTTTCTACTCAGGAGTTAAGGCTCAGGTGATTCTCTCATAACATGTTTTCTTTTTTCATGTCTCATAAGTAAACCCTGGTAAGTGTGAATAGAAGATATGCCCCTGCAGTGCTTCAAGTCCAGTTTGTAAAAGGTTCTTTCATGCCCTCATCCTCCAAGACTCGCCATGTTCATCTGGTGGCCATAGAGCATGACCCCTGATTGGTCAGAGATCCTGCCCAGGGCACGTGGGACAGTGAAGCCATCAGTTACCGTGATGGCACAAAATGTGAAAATGTGCAGATCCACGGTGCTGAGGAAAGCTGGGTGCAGTGACCACTGAGCTGGGGTCAGTGTCTCTGAACTCACTAATGATAATTTAGAAAGTAGAAAGTAGGTCTCGTTAGGAGGTTATGATAAAGCTATTGCAGCCGTGATTAAGGAAAATTTAAAAAGATAGTAAGCCAGAAGTGGACGAAAGTGGCTAAGAGAATAATAAATGATAGTCTTAACAATTAAATTCTATCCAGAAGCTGTCAGGAACTTCATAGGTTCTTTGAGCTAGAAGAATTCTTGGAAATGGCCCCATTGTCCCAGCACTTGGTGTAGTCAGGACACAGAGGCTCCGGTGTCAGTGACTGATTAGGTCACATTGCTGTGGGTGGCGGGACTTCTCTTTCACTTATCCAGATATTGGTTCTGTTTATTAAAAAGACAGGTTGAACTCTGTTATTCTTCATGTTGATTGTCTACTACGGGCAAAAATGCTTAAAATTTAGGTCTTGCCATGAAATGGCTTAAATTTGCTTTGTTTATCTTGATTTCCCATATAGGTGAATTTTCTCAACAACTGAAACTTTACTCTTTCTAAAATCAGTGCCATATTTAAAAAGCATAGAAAAAAAACATTTTCTTGGTGACAGAGGCCAAAATAAGTTGTGTATGGCTCCTTTCCTAAATAACTGTAGACGTTTATTTGTGAGTGGTTTACCATTTTATTTCTGTTCTCTTATGGTGGCTATATTATTAAACCATAGTATGGTTCATCCTACATAAGGACGGGAGGTTGAGGAACTTACACCCCTTAAATAATAGCTGTTACTTGAGGTTTACAGGCTCTGGGTTGCTGTGTGGGTTTTGTTACTGCAAGGTCTCTTCATCTCAGAGCCCTCATGTGAGGCTGTGCTCTGGCCACTGACAGTGCTGCTGGTGCACGTTCTAGATAGGTGTGGCATTGCCCTGCGTGTTTGCCTGCGTATGTGTGCATGCCATGCTATATTGCAGTCTTAAGTATGGGTTT